GTAGTCCTGTATCGCTGGGACATAGTTGAAAATAAAATGGGAAACGATGGTTGTGTATTTTCCTAGGAGATAAAGAACAACAGTTTCCATGTGGTTTTTGACGCAGCATTAGACTTTGGTTGTTTTTTACAGTAATTCTTTTTTTCTTGATATCAGTGCTAGTTGGCTGGTGCGTCTAAAATGCTTAAGCTTCTGCTTGGTTATCAGAGAGTGAGTAAATTCGGCATAATTTTGAGGGTTTACTGCGTTAACGATGGAGGACAGCATGGTAAAATACTTAGTCTAAAACTGGTAGTGTGTTTTGGATAGTGTACAGTGATTTAAAAACTTTTTACTCTCATTTTCTTGATAAGTTTATATAATACAGGAATTTGGTATCTTCTTTAAAATACCTTTTTTTTAAAAAAATCTTCATTTTGGGTCAAGGAAAAATCTTACTGAAGTAGGGACCATACGTTTCACCAGAGCAGTAGTGTTTAACTAAGAGAATATATAAAATAGTAACTCGCTCAGATGAGCATTATGTTGTCAGTCTCTACGTTAGCTTCCTCCTCTCGTGTTTACTTGCTGTCTGACTCACCGGACAAGATGTACCTTGAAGTTGTTATGATACATTATCCTTTGGCATGTGTCATAATAGCTGTCTGCAATACAGGGCGTCCAGATGAAATCATAGCAGAATGAGCAGCCAGAACAACAGCGGGGAGAGCTACCACCTACAACTGGAATGAGGTTGTGAGGAAGCAGAAAGTACCACTCTGTATCTGCATAAGTAAAACTGAGCTGCAGATGTTCAGATTACTGTTCTTTCTTTGCTGAGACCTTTTCTTTTCCATGCTACAAAAAAGCTGGTGCTTAGTTGGTAAAAGTAGTAGTAATGTAGGCACTATTGCTGTATTATTAGGTAGAGTTAGTGCTCTGTATAAGTGTGTTCTTGTTTCAGGAGCTGTTACCATTTGCTGGGTTTGAATAGTTACCTTCATAATGGATTCTTAGAGCTTCAGGAAGATACAGACTCACAGAATGGTTGAGGTTGGCAGGGATCTCTGGTCCAACCCCCCTGCTCACAGAGGGCCACCCTGAGCTGGTTGCCCAGGACCATGTCCAGGTAGCTTTTGAATATCTCCAAGGAGGGAGACTCGGTAGCCTCCCTGGGCAGCCTGTGCCAGTGCTCGGTCACCCTCACAGCAAAGAAGTGTTTCCTTATGCTCAGACAGCACCTACTGCGTTTCCGTGTGTGCCCTCTGGTCCTGTCACTGGGCACTACTGAGAAGAACCTGGCTCTATCCTCTTTGTACCCACCCTTCAGGTATTCATATATGTTGAAGAGATCCCTCCTGAGCCTTTTCTTCTCTTGGCTGAACAGTCCCAGCTCTCTTAGCCTTACCTCATAGGAGAGATGCTCCAGTCCCTTCATCATCTTTGTGGCCCTTCACTGGGTTCTCTCCAGCATGACAGTGTCTCTCTTGTAGTCGGGAGCCCAGCTCTGGACACAGAAGTCCAGCTGTAGCCTCACCAGTGCTGAACAGAGGGAAGGATCAGCTCCCGTGACCTGCAGCTCAGGATACCATTAGTCCCTTTTCCACAAGGGCACGCTGCTGCCTCATGTCCATCTTGGTGTCTGCCAGGACCCCTAGGTCCTTTTCTGCAAAGCTGTACTGGCACATGGCAGGGCTTTGCGCTTCTCCTTATTGAAGTTCATTAAGTTCCTGTTGGCCCCTTTCTCCAGGCTGTTGAGGTCCCTCTGTTGTGTCAACCGTTCATCCCAGCTTGGTGTCATCAGCAAACTTGTTGAAGGTACGCTCTGCCACATCGTCCAGATCATTAATCAAGATGTTAGACAGGACTGGACACAGTTATTGACCTCTGGTGTACACCACCTGTTACTGATGTCCAGATCATTAATCAAGATGTTAGACAGGACTGGACACAGTTATTGACCTCTGGTGTACACCACCTGTTACTGGTGTCCAGCTAGACTTTGTGCCACTGATCACCACCCTCTGGACCTAGCCATTCAGCCACTTTTCAGTCCACCTCACTGACCCTCCAGCCTCTGCTTCATTGCCTTCTCTATGAGGGTCTTGTGGAAGACAGTCAAAAGCCTTACTGAAGTCCAGGTAGAAAATATTCACTGCTCTCCCATTGTCTGCCAAACCAGTCTCATTGTAGAATGTTGTCAAGTATGACAACCTTGTACTTTTCAAAAAAAAAAAAAAAAAAGACCGAGAAGATGATCTCGTCACAACCCATATGGTGTGGCCAAAGACTCATGCAGTAATGGTGCCTACACCAAATGGCCCTGTTTTTTCAGAAGTAGTTAAGTCAAAAGCATTAAATGAAGCAGGCTAGTCAGCCAGGTAAACTTCAACAAATACTGAGCTTGAGGTGGTCTGGTGTAGAACTGGGACTTGCTACTGTCAGTGGTTTCTGCTGAGCAAAAGCAAAGCCCATGCGAAGGAAGGAAACCTTTATTGAGTATGTTTTTAGCAGACGCGTGGCTGGTGTAGGATGTACGCGTGATTGCAGAACTGTAAGGCACTGAAGAGCATCAAATTTAGAAAGACTTGAGATTCCTTTGTAGCTAGACTAAATGATGGCCAGGGTAGATTTAAAACAAAACAAAACAAAAACAAACACACCCCCCCCCCCCACACCCACCAAACAA